TAGACGTACTGGTCGTCGTGTTCCTCGTGAGCATCCGTCGGCTGTCCCCGGCACACACCTCATGGCCTTGCGTCCTTCCTCTACTCCGCAGCTTGTTCCCCTGCCGTCCCTTGCTGCGTGTTCTCTGCCTGACGTTCCAGAGCCTGAGTCTGACCGCGCTCGTGCTGCTCACCCTACTGTCACGCGTCTGCTAGCCACAGTTGTCACTGACGCGTCGTTTGAGTCTGCTGCTGCGTCTGCTTAGTCGCTGAGCTTGTTGACTTTGCTGCTGCCTGTCGTCTCGACTATGCCGCTATTCTTGTTGCTGAGTCTGAGTCTGTCTGTCCTCCGTCCATCGGGGGTGATTATGCTCTTGGCACGGACGTGCTTGAGGACAGGCAGGAGGACCTTGAGGGTCTTGCAGCCGCTGCGCCTCATCTCATGTCCATGCTGCTTGCCCCTGAGGGAGACCCGGATGCACCAGACATCCCGACTCCGTCTTCTTACGCTGAGGCGACCGCAGGTCCCTACTCCTCTCAGTGGCAGACAACCATGGACGCAGAGATGGCATTCTGGAAGTCTACAGGCACTTACGTCGACGAGGTTCCCCCTCCTGGGGCGAACATCGTCGATGGCATGTGGATTTTTTGGGTGAAGCGGCCGCTAGGTTCTTCGCCTGTCTTCTAAGGCTCGTTACGTTGCTCGCGGCTTCAGTCAGCGGGAGGGAGTCGACTTCTTCCAGACCTTCTCTCCCACCTCGAAGATGACCACTCTTCGAATGCTGCTGCACGTTGCCGCTCAGCGTGACTACGAGCTTCACTCTCTTGACTTCAGCACAGCCTTTTTACAAGGCAGCTTGCACGAGGAGATCTGGCTGCGCCGCCCTCCTGGCTTCACTGGGTCGTTCCCTCCTGGTACCCAGTGGAGCCTCCGGCGGCCAGTCTACGGTCTCCGCAAGGCGCCGCGTGAGTGGCACAACACACTGAGGATGACACTTGTGGCTCTTGGGTTTGCTCCGTCGACTGCTGACCCGTCGCTGTTACTGCGCACCGGCACTTCGATGCCGCCGTTCTACATCCTCATGCACGTCGACGACTTGGTCTTTGCCACTGCTGACACTGAGGCTCTTGCCCTGGTGAAGTCGGAGCTGCAGAAGAGACACACGTGCACAGACATGGGTGAGCTGCGCAGCTACCTTGGCTTGCAGATCACCCGGGACAGAGCACGCCGCACCATCACACTGACTTAGTCACACATGGTGCAGCAGGTCCTTCAGCGCTTCGGCTTCACCTGGTCCTCGGCACAGGCCACTCCTCTGGCTACAGGTCACTCGCTCTCAGCTCCACCTTGGGACAAATCCGTAGAGCCGAGTGGTCCTTACCCAGAGCTAGTGGGCTGCCTCATGTACCTGATGACCTGCACTCGTCCTGACCTTGCGTACCCTCTTGGCCTTCTGGCTCGCTACGTGGCTTCTGGTCGGCACCGAAAGGTGCACATGGATGCTGCTAAGAGGGTACTACGCTACTTGTGCAGTACATTGGGCATGGGGCTCGTGCTCGGAGGACGGGGCGACGTTGTCCTCACTTGTCACTCAGACGCTTTTTGGGTTGACGACTTGGCTACGCAGCGGTCGTCACAGGGTTACACCTTCAGCCTTGACTCTGGCTCTGTTTCTTGGGGGTCTACACGCTCTTCCTCTCTTACGCTCCAGTTGCAAGGCTGAGATCTACGCCATAGCCATGGCTGCACAGGAGTTACTTGGGAGAGCGGCCTCGTTCTCCTCCAGTGCTGTACGTAGACAACAAGGCCGCCATTGCCTTGTGTCATGAGCACAGACTGGAGCACAGAACGAAGCACATCGCTCTGCGTTACTTCCTTGCTCGAGAGTTGCAGCAGCGTGGTCAGCTTCGTCTTGCTCACGTGGCCACTCAGGCCAACACTGCTGATATATTCACCAAGGCACTTTCACCTGGTGATCATCAGCGCTTTTGTACTTTGTTGGGCCTTGTGCCAACGTCTCCTCACTTGCTGTAGGCTCTGCCTGTACTGTGATATATATATATATATATATATATATATATGTATATATATATATATATATACCTGCATGCTTGCTCCTGGTAGGTAGAGATCACTGTGCTGTTGTTGTTGCATATATACCTCAACATGTGAACAGGCCTTGTGGCCCTTTGCTTGTGCTGAGTGTGTGTGGTGATCCACCTTGAGCTTGCTTTGCTTCTCTTGACTGGTCTTGTGACCCCTTGCTCTCCCCCACTTTGCCTATGGGGGTGTGTCAAATTATATGCGTGTTATATATGTGTAGGCTGTAGTGGGGTAGCCAATATGGGATACAACCCCATTAGGGTTTCATATTTGTACCAAACCCTGATCTAGTCAATTCATTCCTTCTACTAGATTCTAACAGATTGGTGTCCGTAGGTCGGCATCCGTAGCTCGGCGTCCGTAGGTCGCCGCTCAATCGACGATCACCTTCGTCAACCACTAGGGCTCAATGCCGTCCGTCGGCTTCACTTCCTCGGCTTCACCGTGGTCAGCGTTGCTATGACCGTCTTCGCCTTCGCCAACTTTGCCGTGGTCGACTTGTCGGCTAACCGTTGAAGTTGGCTGACCAAACCTACTTAATCCTCCAAGTCGACGTCCACCATGGAGTCAGCTCCGGCGTCGCCACAAGTCGGCTTCGCCGTGGTCGGCTATATCGAAGTCAGCTTTGCTGATGATAACTCCATCGAGGTCGGCCAACCAAGCCGACTTGTTCCTTTTCGTCGGCGCTGGCCACAAAGACTAACCGACTGCACACCTTGCAAGCCGGACAATGAAGCCGGCTCCGCCCAAGCAAGGGCGAGGCCTCTTATAATTTCTACCCGCTTAGCGGACCAATTCTGTTCATAACAGAACGAGCTGATCTTGTCAAGCTGGCATATGAACGTCTTAAAGAAATGAGCCGTCTACTTTACGAGTACTTGTTCAAGACTCGAATGGTTTCGACGTGTGTTCCATCTTGCACCCACACCAACTCCAACATCACCGACAACCATAACAGGCTCGCCGTCTTAATACGAAACTGTGGGACATCGCTCAATCTCGACGACTTATGTTGCCAGGAGAGAAGGAAACATCGTGCATTGTACAACACACATGAGGACATTCTGATGAGCGTACACTGCCATTGCAATAGCTTCATGGCTGATTTGAGTGCGAAAACGATGCAAAGCGTGAGCACAAGATGCAACGCAATATCCCTAATGTTTCATACCCAATCGATTTCTGGTATGACAACTCATTGCATGTTTTGTACTACAAGCATCATGTTCACTTATTGTTTTTTACTATAAGCATCATGTTGAGCGTCAATTATGGTATGTCACACAGTGTCCAGCGAATTTTGTTACAAGAGTAAGCAGAACGAGGAGCCATAGCTAGGGTTTACCTAGCTAGGCAAGAGAGAATTAAGGAGAATTAAGCCACTTCGTGGAATGATACTATGTGGGTTGATATAAATGCAAAGCAAGATCAATAAGCCTGATAGGAAGACGAAATACACTGGGCTGTTGTGATATTGTTGTAAATTCTGGAATGTCTAATCGAGGATCAAAGTTTGTGACCCTTACCCCATACCTAATATGCGACTCGACAAAAGCAAGGCACCTTGGTTCGACTTTGCAGCTGCGGTCCCAGCCCCGTCCCAGGTCTGCCAAGGGCCAAAGCGAGGGCCTTTTTGCAGGTCTCGAGACATGGTGAATGCGGCCCGGAGCTTCGCGTTTGCAGTTGCGCCCCTGTTTCCCTTCGACCAATCGTAGCACTTTTCCCAGCCCCGAATTCGCCCCTGCATAGTCGCATTGCCTCGCCAGATCGCATGCGCCCGCTAATTTGCAAACAAGGTCTTGAAGTTGCATTGTCGTGCGTCGCATCCCCAGCTACAGTGCAGTGGTCACGTCGTTCAAACCCTACCCAAACCGTCGTTCATTTTTTTTTATGGTGAACTTCGGCCAACCACAATCGCCCGGGGCGTAGCAAGCGATGCACTTGCCGGCTGATCATCGACAAAACGAACGACAATTGCGAGCTTTGCGAGCCAACCACTACTACCATTCCTACCATCCCAGCACCATCGCCCTCACATGTGATCGCATGCAGATCTAAACGCTCGCCAGGAGAGTCTGCGACGAAGTCAAAATCTTGGAATCCAAATTTACATTCCCGCCAACCAAACCCCGATTTCTACAAAGAAATCCTCAAGCTCGAGGCCATCCCGCGCCGCAATTCGCCCTTCCAACCTTGGAAATGTCATTTCGTCCATGCTTCTGTGATAGCTCACTAATCAGTGGAACTCAGCAATAATTGTTCTGGTCGTTCTAGCCTAGGAAGCCCTGGTTACGAAGAAGCTGTAGGATAGCTCTTTTCGCTGTACTTTCTTGCGGAAGCACGTCCACTAGACATAGAACAGCACGGCACCGTAGTACACGTGGCGAAGTTTCATCGCGTTGACCGAAAGAACCGAGGGGACACGTGAAAACAGCTAGTGGTTTTGGAATTAAGCGAGCTCATGGTTCGGCCAAATGTCTCCGCTGCAGCTGCCGCAGCTGCCAGGAGTTTCGTCAGGGAAATCTAGCGGCACCCAGACTCTTGACGCCGAAACCAAGGAGGAGATAGCGACCGTCGGTCCTCCTGACGAGCCGTCGCATTCCGATCTGCTCACGAAGCGAAAGCGAGTCAACCCCCAACCCGACGCTGCTAACTGCGCACCAACTACTAGTAACTACGATAGCCCGCCGCCGTGTTTTCGTCATGACGAACCCAGCTGCATTAGCGGATCTGCTCTTAGTGAAGCGCCGGCGTGTTTCAAAGAACCGTCTGACGCGCCGACTGACGCTAACGAGCTGACCAGCCGCGGACAACCGAGTTCTATCAGCAGCCATGTCGCAGCCGCCACCTCTTATCTATCTGCGCATCAGGAAAGCGCTGGAGTTTCGGCAACCACGAGAACGTGTCTTTCTGCAGTAATGGCTGCAGAAGGTGAAGACCTTGCGAAGGCTTCCGCTCGTCCTGGCTTAGCTAACGGCGGAAGCTTCGTGGCTCCCGCGATTTGCCAAGGAGCAGAAGCAACCGGCGCAAGCAGAGACGTGGAAGCAGCAGGAACGGCCGCGGAGGACGCAGCGGGAACGGCGGCGGGAGAAGCAGAAGGAGCGCCCGACGCGATTGGTGCGTCCACCCCGCCTCGTGAGGCGAACCCGACCAGTCCGTCGCATGCAATCCGTGCGAGCCTCTCCGCGCCCCCGCGCGTGACGAGCAAGAAGCCGCCCGACAGCATGCCGCTGCTGCGCCTACCGCTGGGCCTGTCGCCGTCCGCTTGGCCGCAAGGAGGGAAGCGGCAGCTTGGGCGAGATGACACGGGAGATGACAAGCGGCTGGATTTGAGTATGCCGGGACTAAGCTCTCAACAGGGAGGGGGTTCGGGCGGCTCGGATGGTCCTTGCTGGAAGAAGCGCGCCGTTGGGGGTGTTTCACCGGGCGTAGCCGCTGTAGCAGTGTCCTCGGGTATACAGTCCCCGGGTGCACCGTCCTTGGGTGCACCATCCTCGGTATTATCTGTTCCAACTCCAACAGCCGTCGCGTCTACTTATGTCGCCTCCCCGTCCTCTTCCTCCGCCTCTCCGCTCCGCCTTCCCTCTCCACTTCGCCTCCCCTCCTCCCTCCGCCTCAACTCCCCTCTGCGCTTCTCCCGCCGATCTTCCCCGGCCCTTGCGCCGGTTTCTGGCGGTCACGCCCTTCCAGTCCCCCCCGGAACCCCGAATAACGGCGCGCCACCTTTCCTCTCGCAACCGTCAAACTCCCCCCTTGGGTTGTCGCTTCCTCCCTCCAGCACCTCACCCAGTCCTCACGCTGCGCGGGCGCACGGTCCGCTTCCGCCGCTATCCCTTCCGCCCCCCGCCGCCCCGCTCCCTGCTCAACCTTCCCCCGCGCCGACTCCTGACGGCGGGTGGCAAGGGACAGCTGGCGCAAGTCCGCGCAACCCTCCGAACCAAGGGGGACCGCAAGAACCTGCCAATTCCCCACACTACCGCGGGGTGCGGTTGCGCCCATGGGGAAAATGGGCGGCGGAAATCCGCGATACCGCCAACAGCGCGCGCCTGTGGCTGGGCACGTTCCCCACGGCGGAAACGGCGGCGCTGGCGTATGACGTGGCAGCGATGGCGATTCGAGGAAACAAGGCGAAGCTTAATATGGAGCAGCACAGAGAGCTGGCGAACGAAGTTCGCGATCTGGTGAGAACGCTGAAAGCGGCGGCAAAGGCGGCGCAGGATGCGGCGGCGGCGCGCGCGTATGCGGAGGCGATGGCGGATGCTGGCGGAGAGGAGGGGAAGCCGCCAGGGCTGAAGAGAGAAACCGCGACAGGGAACGGCGAGGACCGAGCAGCGAACGGCGACACGTTGAGTGAACGGCTGGGAACGGTTAGGGATGGTGACACTGGTTTAGAGGCATCTCGAAATGAGGGGGGCGGAAACGAGAAGTCAGCGGGTCGGGAATGCGCGAACTATGCGCCGGTGGCGGAAGGTACAGGCGGAGCACGCAGCGCGCAGGAGAAAGACCAGATGGCGGAGCCGCGATTCGGGCAGGGAAACGGGCAGGGAAACGGGCAGGCGAACGGGCAGGAGAACGGGCAGGGAAACGGGCAACTTCCAATGCTGCGACAGGACCCGCCACAGGCGCCGCTTCTCCACGTGGTGATGGGGAAGGTGGTTACCACCATGGTGGATAAGTATGGCGGGGGAATGGGGAATTGGGCCAGGGGCGTTGGCGCTAATCAGGGCGCGCTGGGGAGCGGAGGAAGCGGGGGAGGCGGAGGAAGCAGCGGGGGAAGCGGGGGAAGTGGAGCTCCTGAGGGTATTGGGGCAGGGGGGGGAGTTGGGGGAGGTGCGGCGAATGGGGGAAATTGGGGGAATGGGGAAACAAAAACGGGTGCCGTGGGAGGGGGTGCTGTGGGTGCAGATAGGGAAGGGGTTGGAGGGAACGCGGGGCAGCAGGTGGACAGGAAAGAGTTGGTTACATCCCCCTTACAAGCTCTCTCGTTAAACCAGGGAGTCTCGCCCATGCAATGCCAGGCCTCCTTCATAGAAAGGAACACGTCCCCTGTACTACCCCAAGTGAAGGTCGAGCACGTTCCTGCTTTTACCGAGTCAGCTTACAAAGTTTTGGTGTTGCAAACAGGAGGGCAGTTCGTGAGTGGAGCAACTGCGTTTGCTGGTAACCATGTAACCAGTTCGTGTGTGGTTGCGCCCAGCGTCACACCTCCGCCTGTAGCTGTACCGAGTATGCTTACAGGGGGGATGACAGGAACGCACTCAGAGGTGCCTGCACTTCCTAAGACTGCGTGTAAGGGGGACGCCTGTAGAGGGGATGGGGGGAGCAGCAGCAGCAGTAGCAGCAGCGGTGGCAGAAGCAGCAGGCAGAGTGGGGGAGAGGAGATGGGCGATGGCATAGGGGGCATGAATGGCACGGGTGGGGTAGGTGGCATGGGCGTGGGGGGTGGGGCAGGTGAAACAGAGAGGATGGAGGTGGATGGACGGACACAGGAAGCAGGGCGAAACTTTGAAGGGTTGGTGGGCACAGTACAATGTGCGTTTGAACATCTCACCCCTAAATCGCCTCACCTTATGCAGCAGGGCGGTGGCGGGAACGCTGGGGTATTATTTGGCAGTGAGCGAACGACGACACCTGGCATGGTATCAGGGTCTCGTGGCGTGGATGATGTGCCACGTGGCATGGTATCAGCGTCACGGGGCATGGATCAAACGCCACGTGGCGTTGCACAGGCGCCTGCTTGCCTGTGCCACCACGCCCACGTGAACATGCAGGCTCACACCCATGCTTCTGTTTCTGAGGCACCTCAGAATCACGTGCACATTCATGCACAAACCTGTGCATTTGATGACACACGCACTCAGCCTTGCACCTTGTCACTCCCTCAGCCTCACTCTCAGTCACACACTCACTCACAGACTCACTCACACACTCAGTCACACACTGAGCCACACTCACAGCCTGCAATGCTGCAACCTTATCACACCCACGATCACCCCAGCAGCACTATCTATGCCACACAGTCGTTAGACATGCCTGTAGCAGCATTGCAAGCGCCCATGCTACCCCCACCTGTCATGCAAACGCCCTTGCTGACCTCCCCTGCTGGTGCTGCTTCAGGTGGTTCTTCAAGCGCGGCTTCTGTTGCCCCTTCAGGTGTTGGCACAGGTATTCCTTCAGGTGGTCCTTCAGGTAGTGCTTCAGGTGGGTTTTCAGCTCAACCCTCTGCCGAACGACCGGGATGGCATTACACAGAATCTCATCAAGCAACAGAGAAAGCAGCAGAGGAGATTGGCAGCGTAAAGAAAGAGAATGTCGCCTCTACTGGTGGAGGAAGAGGAGGAGAAGTAGGAGTAGAAGGAGGAGGAGGAGGAGGAGGAGGAGGAGGAGGAGGAGGAGGAGGAGGAGGAGGAGGAGGAGGAGGAGGAGGAGGAGGAGGAGGAGGAGGAGGAGGAGGAGGAGGAGGAGGAGGAGGAGGAGGAGGAACGGAGATAAGTGGGATCTCCCAGGGTACCAGCCTTGGCGATCCCAGGTTCGGGGCCGAAAATCACAGGCTCGGGGTCGAAGACCTCAGGTTCGGGATCCTTCCAAACCAGGAGGTTGATGGGGAGGACGAGCCGTGCCTGCTGCCCATGCCTGATGGTCAGGAATGGGAAAGGTTCGGTTCGGACCTGCCGTACCCACCCGAGCAGGCTTTTTCTGGGTGGCGGTTAGTGAGTGACTCAGTAACGGAGACAGGCACAGAAACCACAGGAACCGTGCCTACAGTAACAGCTGTTACTGATACAGGCGCCACTGTAACGAATACAGGTGGCACTGTAACGGATTGTGACGGCCTGAGCAGTGACTTTAAAGGGCTGACTTGTTCCGGGCAAAGGGGAGGAGGAGGAGGAGGGGGAGGAGGAGGGGGTAACCAGGTCGGAGCGACAATAACCCTTGAGACACCTGAGAGGTCTCTGACCTGTTCTGCTAGGAGCGAAGGGGCGAGAGGCGATAGCTTCTCAGCGTCAGTGCCTTTTGAGAATCACACGCTAGAGACGTTAGAGAATCCTCTGACAGGCTCTGGGAGGAAGGAGGGGGTGAGAGGAGGGGTGAGAGCGGCAGGAATCAGGACTGCCCATTTCCGCCCTAACGCTGCAATTGTGGAGGCATTTAGAAACGGTGAGGGGCGGTTGGATGGGGTGGAAGCAGTGGTGTTTCAGGCGCCTCAAGGTTCGGTTTGCTTTCAGCAAGGAGTGGTGCAGCAGGGATTGATGCAGCACGGTGGAGTGCAGCAAGGTGGGTTTCAGCAAGGAGTGGTGCAGAACGGTGGGACGCAGCAAGGTGGGGTGCAGCAAGGTGGGGTGCAGAACGGTGGGATGCAGCAAGGTGGGGTACAGCAAGGCGGGGTGCGACAAGGTGGGGTGCAGCACGGAGGGATGCAGAACAGTGGGGTGCACCTGACGTACTCTCAGCAGGAAGCAGGTCAGAGGCAGCAGCAGCAGTGGCAGCAACAGCAGGACCAGCAGCAGCAACAGCAGAATCAGCAGCACTTTCAGCATCAGCAGTATCATCATTATCAACAGCAGCAGCATCAACAGCAGCAGCATCAACAGCAACTGAATTACCTTGACCAGCAGCAGCAACAACAGAGCCAGTCCCGGCAACAGCAGCAGCAGCAGCAGCAGCAGCCGCTGCAGCAGTATCAACAGCAGCAGCAGCAGCAATATCAGCAGCAACAGCAGCAGCAGAATCAGCAGGAGCAGCAGCAGAAAAATCAGCAGGATCAGCTGCAGCAGTATCAGCAGCAGCATCAGCAGCAGTATCAGGAGCAGTATCAGCAGCAGCAGCAGCAGCAGCAGCAGCAGCAGCAGCAGCAGCAGCAGCAGCAACAGGATACGCAGTGGCATAGTCACCAGCAGCAGCAACAACAGAACCAATCCCAACAGCAGCAACAGCAGCATCAAGTGCAGCAATATCAGCAGCAACAGCAGCAGCAGCACAACCCAATCCACACAGAGCAACAGGCAGAAGGGAAGCAAGAGCAGCAGGAGAACGCATGTGTGCAGCAGCCACAGTGCCAGTGCTGCCAACCCATGTACCCGCGTGCGCGAAATGAACCACATAAGCAACAAGAGCAACAGCAGCAGCAGCACCAACGGCAGCAGGAGCAGCAGCAGTGGCAGGAGCAAGGGAAGCAGAAACAAGGGCAGATGGAGCAGCATCAGCAAAGGCAGCAGCTGCACAACCAGCAGCAGCAGAGGCTTATTCAGCCAAACCAGCAGCAGCAAAGCCAGTACCAGCCTCAGAGCCAGCAGCAGCCACAGCAGAACGAGCAGCAGCAGAGCCACTACCAGCAGAACCACCACCAGCAGCAGCAGAGCCAGCAGCAGCAGCAGCAGCAGCAGCAGCAGCAGCAGCGCCAGCAGCAGCAGAACTACCAGCAGCAGCAAACCCAGCAGCAGCAGAGGCAGTATCAGCAAAACCTGCAGCAACAGCAGCAGCAGCCGCAGCAACAGCAGTCGCAGCAAGAGCAGCATAATCAACAGCAGCAACTTTATCAGCAGCAGCATCAGCAACACCTGCAGCCGCAGCAACAGCAGCATACTCCGCAGCAACAATACCAGCAGTATCAGCCGCAGCAACAGCAGGGCCAGCAGCAACAGGCACAACAGACGAACCAGCAGAAGCAATACCAGCTGCAGCAGCAGCAACAGCAGGCACAGCAGCAGCATAATGAACAGCAGGAGCAGTACCAGTTGCAGCAGCAGCAGCAGGAATACCACCAGCAGCAGCAGCAACAGCAGGGACAGGTGCAATCACAAGGTTACAGGTATCACCAGTCAGGCCATTCTGGCCAATCGCTGACATGCACCTGTACACCCTCCGAGTGTTCGCACTCAAATCGCACCAGCCATACCGTACCTGCTGCTGCTGCTGCCACACCTGCTACACCCGCTACAGCTGGCGCTGCTGCTACAGCTGCTGCTGCAAATGCTATAGGGGCTGTGGCTCGTGAAACACAAGTTTCAGCTGCCGCAGCCACAGTTTCATTAAACAGCCGGCAGCAGCAGGGTTATTTTCCTGCTACAGCTGCTGCTACAGCTGCTACTTCTGCTACAGGCGCCGCTACAGCTGCTGCTACAGCTACCGCAACATATGCTGCAAAAGATGCTGCTACATATCCTGCTACAGCTTCTGCAAACGCTTCTACATATCAGGGTGCTTCTGGAATTTCCGTTCCTCGCTGCAGCTGCTGTAGTGGAGGGGCTAATCACACTGTGACTCATGGCATGCCACCTGGCAGCATGCCACCTGGGAGCATGCCACCTGGCAGCATGCCACCTGGGAGCATGCCACCTGGGAGCATGGCTGGAAGCATGGATGGAAGCATGCTGGCGAGTACTGTTCATGGGTCATGTGGTGCGGTGCATGCGAGTCGTGATTCCTCTTGTCATGGTGCCATGCAAGGCGTGTATGCTGGCATGCAAAGCATGCATGGTGGCATGCAAAGCATGCATGGTGGCATGCACAGGACGCATGGCAGCATGGGAACAGCCATAACAGCATCCCCTCACGCATCACCCCTGCCCCCCGCACCCCACCTTCCCAGCACAGCACGCAGCAAGAGCCTATCCTCTCTCCCTCCCCACCTCCACCCACACCCCATTGCTGCCAGAAGCTTTTCCTCTAAGCATCCTCACCCGGGTCCCCACAACTCTCGTTACAGTCACAGCAACAGCAGCAGCAACTGTGACAAAAACGGGGGTTTCTCTCCCAGCCCTGCCCCTTTATATGCTCTCAGTAGCTATGAAACAGCCTGCCTTGCACCACCTTCACGGGAACCGGTTCACAACTACTCAGCTGCTTCCCACCAACAACACCAGCAGAATCCTCTCCAACCACCCCACCTTCCTAGCACCACTCTCAATCGAACTGCACCTGCTTCTCCTGCACCCGCCTCTCTTCCCACACCTGCTTATCCTCAAGGCATCTCTACGCACATTCATGCATCCAACCAGGCCTTTCTCCCGTCCTACCCCACCCAGGGATCATCTGCCCCCGGCTTTTCTGCCCCCATTTCCCTGCCTCCTGCGTCCATGAGTCCACAGTCGTTTCATCAAAGCAGCAATATCGCCACTGCACCACCACAGCACAACACTCCTTTTTATCAGAACAGCAACACCACAATTGCACCACAGCCTGTTTATCATCACCCCAACACGATTTCTGGGGCGCCTCTGAAGTCTGTTGCTGTTTCCCATCCTCCTGCCACCACGCCTTCCCAGTTCAGTTCTCATCACAGCAACAACACCCTCCCACAGTCTATTTATCAAGCCAACACGGTCAACAACACCAACAGCACCATGCCTGCACAATCTGTCCATCAGACAAGCACTAAGTCGCCATACCCTCCACCTATTTATCACACCACCAACAACACCCCTGCACCTTTACCCGGTGCAGGTGCATCATGCCCAGGTGCATCTCACTTATCCTCCTTCGTTCACCCCTCTCCCTCTCCTCCTGCTGCTCTTCATGCGTCCTCTGCCGCGCCACCTGAATTTTCACCTGAACGCATAACTGCCCCACCTGAAATCCCACCTCCCCACCTTTCCTTTGAGACCGCCTCATATATTCCCCAACCGTCACACTACCCCACCGCAACCATTCCCACCCCCACCCCAGCCCTTTCCGGCCCTCCATTCTCCACCGCACCGCACTCCTTCCAATCCCAATCCTCTCTCTCAGCACCCCCTCGCATCCCACCCCAGCCTGCTTCAGACCCATTCTTTTCCCCCTCTCCTTCCACCACTCCCCCATCCTCCTCCTCCCCAATCCTTCTAGCCACCGACCCTCAGCAAAAACACACACCCGCCTCCCACTCATCGGCTCGTGTGCTCATTTTCAGCGATCCCTCCCCCTCTCCTGCTCATTCCTCTGCTGCATTTGAGAACGAAACTTGTGGCTCTGCTGCTACCAAAGCCTCTGGTATTTCCCCTGCAGCTGCACCTACATCTGCTCCTGCTCCTGATCCTGCTCTTGCTCCTGCGCAAGCCTCGAGTCAGGTAACTCCTGAAAGTGGTCACCGGCAATTGGGGAATTCCGGTATATTATCCCCTTCAGCTTCTTCCAGCCCACTCGAGTTCGGCCTCTCAGTCAAACCCGGCTCTTCTCCTGCTGCGCTGACAGCACTGGAACAAGCTCCTTCCTTCCCTGTTCAGCCCACGTCAGCAGCGTCAGCACCAGCACTTGAACACACTCATGCACAATCCGCAGCTCCTGCCGCTGATGCTTCACTTCATCCCACTCCTCCTTCTGGGACTGGCTTCGGTCATATGGCCTTATCCAGCCTTCCTCTCTCCCCTCCACCGCACCCTGTCACTAACATTCCTACTGTCTTCAGCACTGCTCCAAACCAATCAGGGAGAGCGGAGCTAGAGCCCTGGCAAGGGGAGGCATGGCCTGGGGAGGGCTTATCTAGTGAAGGCTTCTTTATTGAGGAGTTTAATGGGCCTGATAGGTGGGATGGAGATGGGTGGCTGGGAGGAGCATGGGAAGCCGATTGGACAGAAGGGTCGCAGGGAAGCGGAGGTGGACAAGGAAGTGCATCTCATGGTGGGTTAGGACTCGCATAGTGAGTTTGTGGTTTTTTAGGACAAGCCCAATGTGCCCAACAGTGAGTCTCAAGGTGCTGATTTTTTGGGAATAAGCTTAATGCATTCCCCTCATGCATCTGTGTGTATAGGAGTAGGAATACATAGGATTTGACTTGGTGTGTTATCAAGTGTTTGTGGTTTGTGGTGAGTACGAAACACTTCTTATAACAGCTACAGCAACATTCTGCTTTAAAATACCAGTACCAGCCCTACTAGTTGTCAGGACCCCACTGAGCCCACTGACCAGCAATCCTCTTTCTACCTTCCCGCCAACTACCGGTGTTACCATCGCCTCGAGCCTGTCGCTGCGCCCTCGCTTCTTTCGCTAGGACCTCGGGATCGTCGCCCAATCTCTGACTGTCTGACAACCACCAATTTGCTTCAGCCGACGCAGGCGTGGTCGGGCTTGGGACAAAATCACCGATCTCATCCCAAGGTTTCAGGTTGTGTCATGTCATGAGTGAACTTCAGCGCTTCAGAACGGTTTAATACG